CATAGTGAGAAGGTAGCCATCTGGAAGCCAAGAAGAGAAGTTTCACCAGAAACCAACCCTGCTGGCACTTTTGTCTTAGACTTCCAAACTCTAGAACTATGAGAAAATAAATTTCTGGTATTTAAGCCACCCAAGCAATCTAACATAGAGTCCCACCCCTCTGATAGACTTTCTTTCTTTTGGGCTGGTCAGTCCCTCTGGATGCTCTCAAACTCCTGCCTGGGAGTTATAAGCCAGCCACTGGTGTTCTCAGAGCCAAGATGGGGAATGCACTGGAATGAGTCTGCTCAGTATATAGACTTTGAATTAATGCTCTAGTATTTAGCACAATGTCCCTGTCCTTAGCTGTGCCTGGTGTTGCGCAGTCCAAAGACCTCAGGTGCAGCCTCTCTAGAGGAAAAGCCTCCAGTCTTCTTCCAGGGTGGAAGATGGGGTGATCTAATTTCTTGCTGTACAAACTTTCAAATGATATTCCTGTTTTTAGCATCATCTTCACCCACTCTCAGAGAAACATGCCCCTAACTGGACGTTTTAATGCCCACATAAGAATGTAAGACAAGACCGTGGATACAAAAAACACGAATTAAAACTGTGATCCCCACGTAAAGCCAGGGCTTTCAAAGGAAAGTATAGACTAGAAAGGATAGACTAGAAAAACACTCACTGACTTGCTGAGAGGAAATGACAAGGAAACTTTTACCTTGACTGTGAGTAGGAAAAAATATTATTCTCCCTTAAAAATTTATAAACAAGGGCACCTGGGTGGCTCAGTTGGTTAAGCATCTGACTCTTAACTTCGGCTCAGGTCACGATCTCACAGTTCATGAATTTGAGCCCCACATCGGGCTCTGTGCTGACAGCGCGGAGCCTACTTGGGATTCTCTTTCTCCCCCCTCTCTGCTGCTCCCCCCTCAAAAGAAATAAAAATAAACTTTAAAAAGTTTATAAACAGGGACAATGCCACACAATTCAATTTGTGTTATTAAGGAACCAGAAGCCAAGAAACTGACATGAAAATTGGTTCTATGTGTATGATCCTCCCAGAGTGCCTGGTTCTGAGTGTATGATGCTTCAAAAATGCTTGGCCTTGCAGAGGGAAATGGAAAGCTACTTTGAAGGTACATGCTCTCAACACAGGCCACTCAAGTTGCCTACAGCTAATGTTAAATGAAGATGATCTCAAAATTCATAATTACAAAGCGGAAAGAAAACAATCATTTAAATGATTAACACACACACAAAGAGTAAGATTAGATTCCCAAGATCTTCACAAGTACAACAATCTAATAAACACTACTGAATATGAATATTTAAAACTATTAAAGATAGAGGCGCCTGGGTGGCTCAGTTGGTTAAGCAGCCCATGTCATGATCTCATGGTTCATGAGTTTGAGCCCCACATCGGGCTCTGTGCTGACAGCTGAGAACCGGGAGCCTGGTTTGGATTTTGTGTGTGTGTGTGTCTCTCTCTGACCCTCCCCCGCTCACTCTCTCTCTGTCTCTCAAAAAAATGAATAAAAAATAAAATAAAATAAAATAAAATAAAATAAAATAAAATAAAATAAAATAGTATTAAAGATATAAGGCAAAGATTTAGAACCACTTATATAAATAAGTAAGAAGATATTGTGAAAGAAGAGCAGGAATCTTTGATGGGGCGCCTGGGTGGCTCAGTTGGTTGAGTGTCTGACTTCGGCTCAGGTCATGATCTCACAGTTCATGATTTTGAGCCTCACATTGGGCTCTGTGCTGACAGCTCAGAGCCTGAAGCCTGCTTCAGATTCTGTCTCCCTCTTTCTCTGACCCTCCCCTGCTCGCGCTCTGTCTCTTTCTCTCTCTCAAAAATAAATAAACATTAAACAAAAAAATTTTTTTTAATGACAGGAATGTTTGGAATGAATTAAGTATAATATTTAGGAATGACACATGAAATTGTTGAAAATAAACACTCAGTAGATACTTCAATATCAGATTAGACAGAGCTGAAGGGAGAGGTTGCACACGGAAGATATACCCAGAATGCAGGATAGACAGTTAAAAGCATAGAAAAATGAAAAAGATTAATAGATAATAGAAAAGCAAGTCAAACAGGAGTTCCAGAAGGAGAGAATAGACAGAATGCAAGAAAGATAATATTTGAAGAAATAATGGCTTTGAAGAATCTGTTGCTCATACACAGTGAATGTCCTTTTATACTAAAGAATGTAGCAGATCATATAAACCCTGTCCTCTGCCCACAGTATGATACAATGTGACAGCAGTAACAAAAGATAACAATGCCATACACATTTGAAAAATTTAAACCATACTACATGGGTCAAAGAAGAAATCACAATAAAAATAGAAAATATTTAGCGATGAATGATAACGAGGTTACTATATACCAAAATTTGTGGAATGCAGTATATAATGGAAATGTATTGCCATAATAAATCTATGACTCTAAAGTTGGTCCCCAGGCCAGCACTATGACCCAGGAACCTGATAGAAATGCAATTTTCTGTCTCCACCTAAAACCTATTGAATTAGAAATTTTGAAGGTGGAAATCTAGAAATCTGTATTTTTATCAAGACCTCCAGGTGATTCTGATGTATGCTTAAGTTTGTGAACCACTGCCTTAAATGTATATATTGGAGGGAATAAAAGAGAAATATTAATAGCAAACATCCAACTCAACTATTAGAAAAAGAACATTAAAATCAATTTAAAAGTAGGAGCATCTGGATGGCTCAGTCAGTTAAGCGTCTGACTTCAGCTCAGGTCATGGTCTTGCGGTTTGTGAGTTCGAGCCCTGTGTAGGGCTCGGAGACTTGAGCCTGCTTCAGATTCTGTCTCTCTCTCTCTCTGTTCCTCCCCACTTGCACTCTGTCTCTCTCTCAAAAATAAATAAAGATTAAAAAACTTTTAAAAAAGGTTTTAAAGTCAGTCTAAAAGTAATGGAAGGAAATACTGTTAACAGCAGAAATCTTCTTTACAATCTATTTTAATAGCTTTATTTCTATATTAGGACCCTTAAAGAAGTATTATCTTTGCTTCCAGGTTGAAACAATCCCAGTTTTCCTCCAGCTTGACTCTGACTCGGTAGTGTATCTGTGCAAGGAAGTTGGACAAAGAAGAAAGTAACACATAGAAAAACATTTCAAGATACCACATTCTAGATATCTATGCAGATATATGCATATTTTCTTTCTATAGAGTCATAAGAAAGTATTAAAAATGGGTTTCTTTGGGGAGGAGGGACTTGGGGTAGATAGAGTCATATTCATTTTTCCTTTTTTTTTTTTTTAACGTTTATT